GGATATCGTGACAACACCTAGTCTCTAAGACTAGGTAAGCCTATTAACATGCGGAATAATTAAAATAAAATAAATATTCTTAAAAAGCCAACAACTCAGTACATATAGAAATTCCCAAAACCTGGCGAAATACAGGTCACAAACTCTTGGAAGAAATTCTAAATAGCTCTATACATCAGAGTTTAATGAGGATAAAGAAACCATATAATAAGGATAGAGGGGGACTACGAGGTCTGCGGACGCTGGCAGATATACCTTGAAGTATCCGCGTACAGACTAGCTCACTGATACCTGGTCTGGTAAGAAATACGTGGATCTACACAAAAAGATGAGCAGAAGTATAATATGAGTACACCACAGCGGTATCTAGTAAGTGCCAAGCCTAACCTTGGTAGAGTAGTGACGAGGTCAGGTCAGGGCCCTACCGGAAATAATAAGAACAAGGCAAAAGATCTAACCAGATATAATAACAATAATAATAATAATAATGACAATGGAAATGGAATAAGTAATGGGTATACCATAATTTAACTACTCAGAATAAAAGCAAGTAACACACTTCGGAAGAAGACAAAGATTCACACATTAAATGAAACAAAATCAGCAAAGACAAGAACATAAATAAAGAAATATCAACAGGGCACTCCAGAGGTACCGCCTAGTAGTCCTAAAATAAATACAAAATTCTTTTTCTTATTTCACCGTGGGGGCCTTTCACATTTAGTTTTAAAAATCATTTTTTTTCGAAATATCGTCCCGCATTTTAGCCCACCTTACCTCACCGCATGACTTCTAGTAGTTCCCCTACTAGCCACGATCAAGCCCACCTTATCTTACCGCATACGTATTAACACCTAGACCTTATATCACCGCATACGTATTAATATCTCAACAAAAGGGCACTCCCGAGGTAACGCCTCATAGTCCCAAAAGTAAATAAATTTCATCAAATAAGGAGCTCACGGCTCAACAACACTGTACACAAAAATCTCAACAAATAATTGGAAGTGTACAATTCAATAGAATAATATTTAACAATTTAACACCTTTATTTCAATAGGATTTACGGCCTCTATAATTTAACACTCCAGGCATCCCATGGTGCCTCAGGTGGTCGTGGCCCTCAGATGCATTATTTCGACCAGCTAGCCTACAGTGCACCACCATCTCCTATTAGTGTACCTCCACTCTAGAGTTATCAGGGTGGTCAATCAGGTCGACAGGGTCAGTTTCAGGGTCAGCAGTCACAGCAGCCGAGGTTATGTTATACGTGTGGTGATCCGAGGCACATTGCTAGATTTTGCCCTCAGGCAACGGGCAGCTCACAACACTAGAGTTCTCGTGCCATGGTTCCGGCACCAGTTGCTGCACCACCTGCTCAGCCAGCCAGAGGTAGGGGCCAGACAGTTAGAGGTGGATTCAATACCAAATTTTAATAATCGATATTCCATAATTTAATAACTCAATTAAGGAATTCAACTTTTAAATAAGGATCACAGAATAGAAAGGAAACAAAACTTCAACTAAACAGGTAAAACAATTAGTAGAGAAAAATAAGGCAAGTAGGACATGCGGAAATAGAAAAACGATGATGAATATAACATGGTAAATAAATTAATTAACATGTGACAAATATATACACAATTTAAAACCAGAATTTTTCTTATTTAGCCCATGTACACACTCGTCACCTCGCGTACACAGCCTTCAACACATCACAATTATCATAACAATACATGTCCTAAGGGGAATATCCCCCACACAAGGTTAGACAAGTCACTTACCTCGAGTTGCGTCAATTTAATCCACTAGTAGGCCTTTTCCTCGATTATCCAGCTCCGAAAGGATCAAATCTAGCTAAAATAATTCGATACAGTCAACAAAAATTATAGGAATCAATTCCATATGAAAAATACTATATTTTCTAATAAAATCCAAAATTCTACGCAAATATCGACAGTGGACCCCATGTCTCGGAATCCGACAAAAGTTACAAAATATGAACGCCTATTCAGTGATGAGTCCAACCATACTAAAATTTCTCAATTCCGACAACAATTTGGCCCTCAATTCTTCAAATCTAACCGAGAGGGTTTTCAAAATTTTCCAACTTAAAATACTAATTAGACGTTAAAAACTGTAATAGATTCGGGTTATTTAACCAAAATAGAGTTAGGAATTCTTACCCCAATATTTTCCTTTAAAATCTCCCGAACATTGCTTCACCCGAGCTCCCAAAATCGAAACATTGAAGAATGGACTTTAAACCCACGAAAAGAGCTTTTCCTACTCAGTTCTTTTGCACCTGCGGACAGTGTGACGCGCCTGCGAGCTCGCTTCTACGATAAAAATCTCGCAGTTGCGGTGGCCACTCAACATCCCAGGTTTCGCACCTGTGGTATTGCTTCTACGAGCAAGGTAGCGCACTTGCATGGTCTTCCGCTTCTGTGCCTTCGTTGTCCGCTTCTGCGATCATGCAGGTGCGGAAAATTCTTCGCACCTGTGAACCCTATCCAGTCCTTCCCATTCCGATTCTACGAGCCACAGCTCGCTTGTGCGAGTCCGTACCTGCGGTCAGTCCCTCCACAGGTGCGATGACACCAGAAACCAAAAAATTTCAGAATTGTTCTAAGTCCAAAAATTGATCAGATTTCGATCTGAATCTCACTCGGGGTACTCGGGACCTCAATCAAATATACCAACAACTCCTAAAATATTATACAAAATTATTCGAGTCTTCAAATTATATCAAACAACCCTAAAAACACGAATCACACCCCAATTCAAGCTTAACGAAAACTAACGAATTCCAACTTCTACATTCGAAGCCAAAACCTATTAATTCAATTCCGATTGACCTCAAATTTTTCATACAAGTCATAAATGACATAACGGAGCTATTCAAATTTCTAGAATCGTATTTCGACCCCGATATCAAAAAGTCAACTTCCCGGTCAAACTTTCAAATTTAAATTTTCTATTTTCGCCATTTCAAGCCTAATTTAACTACGGACCTCAAAATAAATATTCGGACATACTCCTAAGTATGAAATCACCATACGAAACTATTAGAACCATCAAAATTCTATTCCAGGGTCATTTACACATATTTCATCATCCGGTCAATTAATTGAACTTAAGCTTTAAATATTGGAACCAAGTGTTCCATTTCATCCTGAAACCTCCCCGAAAAATCACATAATTATAATTGAACACGGAATAAGCAGTAAATGGGAAAATGGCAATGTAATATTCAAAACGACCGACCGAGTCATTACATACACCAATGGAGTGCAATCAGAGGTTCACTACTGTGGAATATGAAAAATTGGCAGATGCAAGACCATATCAAAGATTAGTTGGGAAATTGCTATTCTCACTATGACAAGGACACACATATGCTATGCAGTCCATGTATTGAGCTAGTGTATTTTTCAAAGAAATCACACATGGAAGCAACAATCAGAGTTGTTAGATACATAAATGTTTCCCCAGGATTAGGCTTATTAATGAGCTCTAAACAGTCTACAAAACTCACAGCTTTCTGTGATGCAGACTGGGCATCTTGTCCAGTCTCTAGAATATCAGTGACAGGTTATGTGATGAAGCTGGGAAACTCTCTAGTGTCCTAAAAATCAAAGAAGCAATACATAATTTCAAGAAGTTCAGCAGAAGCTGAGTATAAGAGTATGGCAGCAGGAGTTTCAGAGATCCTATGGTTGACATGATTATGCAAAGAATTACGAGTGAAGATTGATTTTCCAGTGGAGTTGCATTGTGACAGCAAAGCAACAATTCAAATTGCTGTGAATCCTATATTTCATGAACGTACGAAGTACATTGAGATAGACTTACATTTCATGAGGGAAAGGATTCAACAAGGGATTGTTAGAACCAAATATGTGGTGTCCAAAGACCAAGAGGCAGATCTATTTACAAAGGCTCTAGGAAGGTCACAACATGAGTACTTGATGAGCAAGCTAGGAGTGCTCAATCTATTTGCACCACCTAGCTTGAGGGGGAGTATTGAAGATAGAAATGGCACGTGACTGGCATGTGAGCCAACAAGATTAGTAAGTTAGTTAGTTATAACTAATAATGTGAATGGTAGTTAGGAATTAATAGGAGAGTAGAGTTAGTTAACCTTTGTTAGTGTGTATATATAGACCATTGGTCATTGTATTCATTAGATTCTCTTAGCTTATTTTTGCTCTCCAATGGAGCTCGTGTTCTAGAATCATCTCGCACATTTCTGTTCTCCTTCTATTGTGTTAATCTCAGATTCTCATTATGTTTTTGTGCATATGAGTAGCTTCATTGGAGTTAATCATATCTATGAAGGTGCACTTTCAATGGCAAAAGCAGGTCTCCAGCAGGGCTAATTCTTAAGCGAATAAATCGTCTTGCAAATTTTTACACTTCTTTCAACTAAGAATTTGCAAGTAACTCTAGCTAAACTACAAACCTATCTAAACTATCTCATACAAGTCCATCTAGGTTTCTAAAATTACAATAAGGCATTCAAGAACTTCTGCAACATAATATTCCTTCTTCTATTAAGCTCTATAAAAATGATCAACATTCACCAATTTTTAGAAATATTCATATTTTTTTTATAATTCAAATATATTATTAAATAAATATTTATGTTAATATTTAATCAAGATATGGGAACACATATAACACGCATACACTAATAAGGCACAACATGAGGAATATAACATAAGGCACATAGCAAGCATACACTAATAGAACAAATAGAATAGGACAATAATACCTCTCATAAACCCAGAAGAATACAACATGAGGAATTTAATGTTAAAAAATAATTCGAATAATAAGGCACTCCAGCAGATGGTAGTAATTAAAGAAAATAATTAGTGATGTGTAAAAGAATGGGAAATATATTATAGAGGAAGAACCGGTAACTCAGTCCATCTAAACCTCTGCCTATTAGCAGAAAACAAAAAAAAGACATACAGATTTGTGCCGAAACTACTATGGCCACTAGCGGTAATGGTGGCCGACCATTCCCAGAGGATTTAGCGGTGGATATTCTACTCAGGTTTCCGATGGAGTTCTTGTTCCAATTCAAATACGTCTGCAAGAAGTGGTACGAGATAATGAAGAGTTGTAGCTTCATCAAAGAACACATGAATTGGAGGAACAAGAACAAGTCCCCTCAAATCCTGATTTATGATCATAGTGCCCCAGATAATTCCCCTTCTATCACTTTGATTTCGGTTTCAGATGCTGGCGTAATTGAAAATCCACCTGATTATCTCAAGGGCTTTAGAGGTATTACGTACCTTTTAGGTTCTGTGGATGGCTTATTTTTGTTGAAGCAAGAAATTGATGGCAGCATATTCAACATCTCCTTGTCATTGTGGAATCCCGCCACCAGGGAAGTGAGACCCCTTCTTGCAACCAAGTTCGAGCTTCAACAATCTTTCAGACAAATCGACCGTCAGTTTGGGTTCGGATTAGACCCCATGAATAATGACTACAAGGTTGTTTGGTTTCTGTCCTTCTGGGATGACATCATAAATCAAACTATCCCTCGTTGAAGGAACACAATAAACTATACACATTAATTTAGCACGTAAATCATAAAATGAGAACTTACTTGTTCTTTATGAAGTGGAAGCGAAATTCTGAAATGAACCGCGGCTGAAATCACTGGTCGATGGTGGTTGTCACACTGTGATAGATCAACCCCCTAAATAACAATATAAACCCCTCGTCTGATTTGGGAAAAGAAAGCGTTGAAAAATACTGCAGAGAGTGTATTTTTTTATTTTACATAGTAAGTGTACTTATATAGGGAATAATAAGGTTAACTAATTACCCTATTGGTCCTTAAAGCACACCTTATGGGTGGAATCAAAATTTTATACATCTCCCACTCACACATAATGGGAGTGCTCATCTAATCTGAGAAACATATTCTCATCTCCTCAATCATTCATACAGGGTAGTAGACCGTACAACCAACATACTGTGAGAGCTAAGTGCTATACATCTATTAGGAGTATATAACCTCTCGTCGAATCAAACCTGCAAATAGATCATAAAGTATGCAGTACCCTAGATCATATAAATCACATTTTATATAGTCTCAAAATCTCATATATCATTATTTCTTGTATTCACAATCATAACTCATAAGTTATAACTAGTGCACCAGTGAACACAATAAATGCGATTTCATCAATGATCTTCCTCTTGTCACGATTCCCTTAACATTAGTTGACTGCTTTTCTAGATATGCTCCGCTAGACCAAATCTATATTCATGGTCTTTTGAAAACACACTAATATAGCTAACATCACACTAAGTCTTAAATATCTGATTGGAGTCTTTGAGGGTACAAAATCTTGCGGCATAATAAAAGCTCTAGGCCACACTCAACAATAAGTTGAGAATGGACTTATGTTAACTCAAGTAGTCGACATTAGCACACATGATATCAGACATGTGCTATAACATTTTCTCCTTTTTTTTCCAAGGAGCGTATGTCTTTATCTCATAAAGAATGTTGTTTAGATGATATTTAGATACCATAAGTATCTAAATTTGAGTTCTTTGATCTACAATATCATTTTTAACTCATATCTGGCTCATAAAGTAGACTAGGTGAACGTTTTTCGCCCTAATGACCTTATGTCATTATTTAAGCAACATTCCGATTTTAAGATAATAGCTCTCAAATTATCCTTATTATAATTTTGCTTAAAATCATGTCTCATCTCCTCGCATCACGAAGATAAGGAGGAAGTTGCCTGACTGAGAAGGTCAACCTCTTGTTTATGTGACATACTTATCAAAAAAATGAACAAAGAATGTACATAACATTCAACAATAAAATATGCATGTATGTAAATCAACTCTATTGATAATCAAAGAAAATTAGTTTTGTGAACAAGGGAAAATAATAATAAAATGAAGTATATCAAAATCTATGCAAGCCTTGAGACCCAGTGTGTCTCACAAATGCATCTCTGGACAAAGGCTTGGTCAATAAATCTGCTAGCATATCTTTTGTAGACACATACTTCACATTCACTAACTTGCGTCTAACTATGTATCTCACATAGTTATACTTAATATCTATGTATTTGGTTTTACAATAAAACTTAGGGTCCTTGGTAGAGGATATTGCAGCTTCAATGTCAGAGTAGACTAACACTGGTTCAGCATCTTCTGCCATATCCATCAAGTGTTCCAAGAACCTTTTCAACCAAACAACTTTTTGTGTTGCTGATGCGAGAGCCACGTATTCGGATTCCATCGTAAAAAGTGATATACATGATTGTTTCTTACTACTCTATGATATGGCGCCATCACTGAGTAAGAAAACATATCCTGAGGTAGACTTTCTTTTGTCTAGATCTCTTCCATGGTCAGCATCATTGTTCCAACTAATTACATATCCTTGCTGCCTTGATAACAAAGGGCATAATCAGTAGTTCCCTTAAAATATCTCATGATCCTCTTTAATGCTTGCCAATGTGCTAAACCTGGGTTGGTTTGATATCTACTTACTAAGCCAACTGCTTGACAGATATCAGGTCTAGTGCACACCATAGCGTACATTAGACTTTCGACTACGCCCCCTTAAGGAACTTGGCTCATTCTTTCTGTCTCTTCAGGAGTCTTAGGACGCATCAGACTTCCCAAGGTATGGCCCTCACTGATAGGAGTTTCAACTGGGATACTATTTTGCATATTGAATCGTTCAAGAACTTTTCTAATGTAATTATCTTGTGAGAGATACAATAGTTTCTTTGGACGATCTCTTGAAATCTTAACTCCAAGAATATATGCAGCTTCACCCATATCTTTCATCTCAAATTGGGATGATAACAATGACTTTATCTCGGTGATAAACTCCTTATCATTTCCAGTTATAAGTATGTCATCTACATACAATCTTAAAGTCACAAGCTTATTTCTTGATCTCTTGGTATAAACGCAATGGTCTTCATCCATCATGGTAAAACCACTGGATACAATAACATTCTGAAAGCGTATATACCACTGCCTTGAAGATTTGAGGCCATAAATAGACTTCAAAAGTCTACAAACCTTTTATTCGTGTCTCTTTTCAATCAAACATTCAGGTTCTATATAAATTTCTTCATATAGTTCTCCATTGAGAAATGCAGTCTTTATATCCATCTGATGTAATTCAAGATCCAAACTTGCAACAATAGCTACAATCAGGTGAACATAGGTAAATCATACAACAGGCGAGAAAGCCTCCTCATAGTCTATTCCTTTATGATGTGTATACCCTTTCGCCACCAGTCGAGCCTTATATCTCTCAACTGTGCCATCAGCCTTGAGCTTAATTTTGAGAACCCATTTTCTCCCAATTGTTTTGTGTCCTTCAGGGAGGTCAACTAGTTCCCAAACTTTGTTGACTCTCATAGACTCCGGTTCATCTTCCATTGCTTTTGTCTATTTATCCTTAGAAGGGCATGAGAGAGCCTCTTTTACATTTTTAGGCTCGTTTTCTTCTTGTAGGAGCATCATAATAGTTCGCCGCCTTCAACATCAAATCGTTGGCAGAGAATCTTTTTACGTGAAGCACGTCTTATTTGTGATTCATCATTGTTCCCACTTGGGTCAATGTTCCTCCCACTCGGATCAAGAACATTCATCCTGCTCCCACTTGGAACAAGATCTGTGACCATCTCGCTCCCACCTGGAACAAGATCCATTGGGTCACTTCCACTTAATGCAGAAGGATTACTTTCATTCGCATCTGATGATCAAGGAGGTCATTGATGAGAAACTAATTCATCATCTGCTAAAATTCTCCCACTCGAATGAAGTGATCCTTATACTTCTTAATCCATTATCTCAAATAAGGTTAGGTCATGACCTACCTCTCCCTTCTTAGGGAACTCATCCTCTAATAATGTGATATCTCGTGATTCAAACTCACTTACACCTCCACTGTTTTGCTGACCTATTGTCACGACCCAATTTCACCCATAGATTGTGATGGCACCCAACACTATTGTTGGGCAAGCCAACAGTAAACTAGTCGTGTGATTTCTTCTTTTAGAAATTTAGAAATAGTTGATTTTAATTTTATTTAACAATTAAGGAATAAATTTCCATGAAAATGAGAAATAAACAATTTAAGAGTAATTAAGGCAAAATAATAATTTAAAACCGACAAAATGTTCTAGTAGCCTGATTCCCAAAACCTGGTATCACAAGTGTATGAGATACTAGTAGATTATACAAAACATACTATAATACTTATCTGAAATGAAATAGACAGGAAATAAATAACAAAGAGAGACTCTGGGTGCTGTGGAAACGGACTCGGAAGGGCAGCTCACTCAAAATCTCAAAGTATCAGGTATGCGCGTCGGGGTGATAACCGGATGCTCCCGCCTCAGATCCTGCACGGTTAGTGGAGAGTGTAGTATGAGTACAATAATAACGTGTACCCAGTAAGTATCTAATCTAACCTCGAAGAAGTAGTGACGAGGAATCGACTTCGACACTTACTATGGTCTAACAATAATAAGAATAGAATTTTAAATAATCAGGAAATGTGTAAATGATAATGAAATCCAATAATAAGCAATAATTAAAAAATTCCCCTTACTAAAAATAAATTCCAAATTAAAATTTCCATCCTTTAATCATTTAACCTCTTCAACCAATGAAACAACATCAAGTATAATCGGGTTTCAAGTATTATTACGCACGAAAGTTGCCGAGGACGTACGGCCCGATCCAATAACACATATACATAACTGTGTGCACTGCCGAGGGCCGAACGGCACGAACCGTAGATGCATCTATTAACCTGCCGAGGCGAACGACCCATTCCCATGAGAGTAGTGGAACTTGTACCTCGCCCGCGGAAACATTTGCGGCGCGAATAAATATAAATTCTCAAATTATTAGAAATTCCTCAATTCTTTCCATAACATAAGGAGGCTAATTAAAAGCTTTAAATCTTAAAATCCTCAACCTCATTTTCAAGACAATTAATTAACATAATCAAATAACGATAAGAACAAAAGCATGATATGAATCCTAAGACTACCCGGACTTCACATGAAATATAGTTACGCACGGACTCTCGTCACCTAGTATGTATGTAGATCCCCATACACAATATTTCTTTTAGCAAGACACACCTAGGGGGATGAGTTCCCTCTTACAAGGTTAGAAAAGAGACTTACCTCGTCTCAAAGCTCACTTTCCGACTAAGGTTCCGCTCTAAAGCTTCAATTGGTGTCGAAAACTCCGAAACTAATCAAATGTTATACAAATTAATCAATACATGCTCGAAAACCCATAATTCACCCATTTAAACAATTACTCAACCTAAATTGCATGATTCTTAAAACCCGTCCCCGGGCCCACGTCCTCGGATTCCAGAAATTTTCAAAGAAAATCGTTACCCATAGCCTTACTAACTCAAATATATAATTTATACCCAATTCCATAACAAATTTCATGGTTAAATTCTATTTTTGTCAAAACCTAGGTTTTTCATCTAAACCCACAATTTCTACCAATTTACATGTTA